CCCATAGATCGCAAGGTCTTAAAGGGGTACTTTACTTTTAGTGGGATCATGGATAAAGGCATTTAAAAAAATTCCTGGAAAAGTTGGCTAACAGCTAAAGAATGAGACTTAAAGAAAAAGAATGGTTGTCATTTCATAAAAAAAAAATATAGGTCTACCTTTGTATGGCATATTAAAATGTTTAACTTTAAATTAAACATACAGGAATATAACAAAAAAAAAAGAAAATCTTTTGCTTCTATTACTTGTATTCTTTTATATCATGCTGACTGAACTATTGTAATGAGCACAGAGCTCAAAAGAGTGTTTGAGTAATAATACATATTTACCCTGTGGAGGAAACTTTGTTTGAAACTTTATATACCAGAATGTTTTTAAAAAAGCTTTTTTCGTGCTGACATTTTATTTTCTCTTCAACAGAGTTGTCCAATAATTAGCAGGCGAGGCTTGAATAGGTCGCAATCATTGGATATTAGACCTCGTCCTTCTTTTAAGCGTGTGGACCCCCCTAATGATGGAGCTACACCTGTTCAAAGTAAACGTTTTAGAGGTGAAACTGACACAACCTTTCGGACAGAAGACAAAGAAGAAAACAATCAATCTTTGGTAAGTTTAATCTAGTGTGTTAGTAAAAATATCAATTAAGATTAACAGTTTAAACCAGAAAAAAAAAAATGTCATATACATTAGTCCAAATTACATAATACACAACATACAAAATTTGTTACAGGTAAATTAATTTTAAAACTAGTGGCACCACACATTATATAATACATAATTTGAACATAATTCTTTATTTGAATTGTTTAGGTTCCAAGTGCCAGAAGACTACATAGATGTCACTCAGAGACGGAAGCTATGATAAAATCTGCAGTGTCTCGAATGTACTTGGAACCAAACCTCATTGGAGACTGCTCTAAAGTAAATTTTTTTGTATATTTTTAGCAGTCCTCTTTGGGTAAAGCGGTCTGTCTGTTGCTTAAATGTCAAAAAAATGAAAATATGATTTCACCATTGCATCATATCTCTAAGTGTAACTGCTAGTGAAATATATTGTTTTAGAAATCAGGTTCACTTACAGATCTAGGTATAGTTGAGTTTAAAAACAAGGGAAAAGGGCAGGTCTTGTTCTCCATTGTCATTTCTCAAACAAAAAAATCCCTTTTGTTGTGAAAATGAAATTTTAAAACAAGGTATGGAAAAAAAAAAGATTAAATAAGAATAAAATTGTGTCCTTCTGCTCACAAAAGTTGCTACTGCTACTTATAAGTAACCTTTGGTTTCTAATGTATTTTTTCCTTCCAAGTCTTTATTATGAAATAAAAACAATGCTGCTTAGACAAATGTTTACATGATAGAATTCCTTTCATTTTTTGTGTTCAAGTCTTATTCTTGATTTGAAATGTTCTTTACTTGCAGCCTTATTGCTTACCAACAGTCAAAGGCGGCAAACATGAAGATCTCAAGTCCATCACTCCTGAAACGGTAATATTTTAATGAATGATTTTAGAAACATAACAGTAGTTGTAGGTGATTGTCAGTTGTCTACAGTCTTTCTCTTTCAAAGTCAAATCATTGGCTTTATTTATAATATTCATAATCATTCATAATCTTCATTTTCTCAGCTATTTTCAAGGTTATTTGAATGTAAATAAATTTTTTATACAAACCAAGTCATACTGATTGTAATTAATTCTTAAATACAAATAATTTTCAGTTAATGAGGCTGTTAGCGAATGAGTTTGCTGAGGAAGTGGGAGAATTCCACATAATAGATTGTCGTTACCCCTATGAATATGAAGGAGGTCACATTCGTGTAAGTGGCTCTTTTTTTTTTTTTTTTAAACCAACTGCTCATTCTTAGTAACAATTATTAATATCTAGTACTTTAAACAAATCTTACTTCATTTATAGTTGAATTAGCTATGTCTATAGACGTGTTTAGCCTGTGAACAACTAATATATCTATATAAATACACTCTTTCTCAATACATTGGGTAAAAAACTGCTTCTGTAAGATATATTCAAAAGTTTTTAATTCTGTATTTTAACTTCAAAAACAATCTAATGTCTGCCAGCATTTATCTTATCTTACTTTTGTTGTCAAATCTCATCTAATCTAATCTAATCTATTGCACTTCTATCAAATAGATTTTTATCCTGTCTTCAATGACATATATGACCCTGATTATTATATTTGTTTATTAAATAAAAATATATGTAGAATTATTAGTGTTTAACAATTTTTAAAAAAATGGGGGGTAGGAGGGACATATTACAGATAGTCATACTTCATTGTATTGAAAGGGTTGATCAAGATGTCATTGTTAAAAAAAACTTTTTTTTATTCTACTTTCTCAAAAAACTACATCCTAGATTGTTTGATTTTATTTTTTGTAGAATGCTGTAAATATCTACACCAAAGATGCTGTGGTTGAAAAGTATCTCAAAACGCCTAAAACTGCTAAAGATTCACAAAAAAGAATGATTCTTATTTTCCACTGTGAGTTCTCTTCAGAGAGAGGCCCAAGGCTGTAAGTATTACATCTCTCAGTTTAAAAGAAAAGTATTCTTAAATCAAACAGTTGTGACACTTTTAACTAAACCAGTCACTTGATGAAAAAGTCAATACAAATAAAACAACTGATAATGTAGGAAAAAAACAACAAAACACTGCAAAAAACCTCATGGTCAAAATCTGAATTACAATTAGAAAAATGAAAAGTCTAAATTAAAAAATTGTATTCCCCATGTGACTGGATTTAGTAAACATTTTTTAACATACATTTTTTTTTTGTACTATGGTTGTATAAAATGAAAAAAAATTAAACTGAGTGAAATCTACTTGTATCATCTAGATTCAGGTTTCTAAGAAGTCAAGATCGTGAATCTAATAAAGAATGTTATCCATATCTTCATTACCCTGAAGTCTATTTACTGGAAGGTGGATACAAAAGTTTTTTTGAAAACTATTCTGTAAGTACAGGCTTAATTTTGGGGATGTAGTGGGGAAGTGCTTGGCTGAAATCTCAGTGTTACACAGTGCAGTGGATTGGGAAGGTACTGTGGTGTACAATGAAGTGGGAATGTACTGTTGTGTACAGTGTAGTGGGAATGTACTGTGGTGTAATGTGTAATTGGAATGTACTGTGGTGTAATGTGTAGTGGGAATGTATTGTGGTGTGAATACATGTTTGAATGGAAATGTCAGAAAAGAGGAGGTCAACATTCATTGTAAAACATAATTGTAAAGCTATTTAAGGAAATAAATTGTTTTTAAATTGCTGGTAGTTCATATTTTTAGGACTGATGCTTTTGAAGTAGTAAATGTGAATGCATAATGTATTTCAAATATCTACATTTCTCAACCTACCTTTCAGCACTTGTGTGAGCCCAGAGAATACAAAACAATGTTTGACAAGAACCACTCAGAAGACTTGAGAAAGTTTAGAGCCACTTGCAAGTCTTGGTCTGAAGATAAGCCTCAAAGAAATGGAGTCCGAAATTTAAAGTTTTAATGTTAGTATAGCACATTTAATAGAGCATTGTCTTTTTGAGATCTCATCATGGGCTGTTGTATTTCTATGTCAATAGTTGAAGTACAAAATTATCAGAGCTCTCCTATTTATGGAAAACTTATCTCTCAAAGCAAGATCATAATACTTATAAGGGTTGTATATATTAAACAGTAAGATCATATTAAGTGTTACATATCAAAAAGCACTTGCTTCATTCCTGTATTATTGAAATGATATCAGATTTTTAATTTAAAAAAATTAATTATGAGCACATTGGGACTATTAATTTTTCAGGAACTGTTTGATCTGGGTTGCACATAAATCTGCCTATTTTGAAGCCATATTATTTTATTTAGACATTTCATGGGACCAGTATTTGTTGCATTTGATATGATTCATGTGATTTATACCCTGTTCATATATACTAACTTCTTTATGAACACTGTTTATTTTACATAGCCCATGTGGAGAACGAGAGTGCTAGAGTCATGAGTGGTTATTTAAGTGTGTGTGTTGGTGTAAGTGGTTTGTCTTGTTTTGAAGAAGATATTTATTGTCAAGTTTGAAGTACACACATGTTCATTAAAAATGGGCAATGCTTGCTTGTGTAGCTGGTCCAACTTTTAGAATTGAGTGTAAAAAAAAAAAAAGGTATTTTAGTCAATGACAACTTTGAGCCAAGTGTGATAACTCAAGAATGAATGTTTGAGGTGTCGGTCTAAGTTTTAAAATATTTTTAGATTGTCTCATTTATTGAAGAGCTCAATATATTGGAAAGTTTTATTCTATATATTTGAAACAAATAAAATTTAAAACTGAAAATAATTGAATTCTTTTTAATTTTCTGTTTTAAATTCAGTTTTTAGTTGAAAATTATTTTTAAAATGTTGTTTTGTTTGTTATAATTCAATTACTGTATTTTTCAAGTTTCTATTTTTATGTGCTCAGATGTCTTAAAAAAAAAAAAAACAGTACCAGTTAGAATTGAAGTGTGTAAGTCCTTGCTTTGTGCCAATACATGTATTTACCTATAAGTATACCAGATTTGTGACAATTCTGTATGTGCTTCTATTACAATGCTCTACAAATGCCATTCTGTTCATTAAGGAACAGAATCCAATTCAAATGTATAGATGATTGACTGATATACATCTTTCCCATCAGAGCCACACAATTTATTGTGTTTAAATTAACTTTGTTTTATTTGTAAATTTTGTAAAAAAAAACATGTATATGCATGACTTCTATTCTCGTGGACTTCAGCTTAGAAAACATGTGTGTGAGTGTTGGTTTCTCATTCTGTCCTACAACTTAACCAGATCTAGTTTTGAAATCAAAGTATTGACTGTCACAAAGTGTCAGTGAGTGAAGAATCTGTTTTCAAGTTCTATCCTATATTATTTACAGCTTGTCAAGTCCTAGATATGGCAATGACTTTAAAGCCATGAATGTTTGTCAATCTTTCCAACATATAGATATGGCAATGACTTTAAAGCCATGAATGTTATTCAGTCTCTCCTACAGATCCATACATTGTTGTTTTGTCATTGTTTAACTATTCCACTTACTTGATGTAGTTCAGTTTAAAAAATGTAATCCTTAGTGTGTGGTTTAATTTATTCCTTTATGAAGGGGTCAATTTAAACTTCATTTTGTGCAGATTTGTATATTATTTTCGCTTTTTTTCTCTTTTAGTGTCAAGTAACAATTAGTAGTGAATAAATTCTGGATTTTAAAACATATTTGTTGCCAAAGTTTCTTTTAGTTAATCTTCATTCCAAGTTTACTTTTGAACACAGAAGTAACGTTCGGATTAAACAACACAAGAATACTTGACCTACCAATGATTCTAAACATGTGGCTCAGAAAACAATCAAATCCGTGCAATTCTTGATGGTTACCTTCCAAATCCTTTTTTGTTTTGCCTTCCTTGTTTACATCCTCATGGCTCTATCACATGCAGGTTGCAACTGAGTTTGCATAGCCATGTGAAACACTGCACTCATCCTTTAATCGAAGACTGCCAAACATAACAGGTTTGACTACAGCACATTCATCTATATGTTGTGCTGTTCAACGTTTTGGGACACGATCTCTCTCCCCATTCCAATCCTCTAGCTCTAGAAAAGACTTAGAAAATATACTGTAAATCTTCAAGATTTAGAAAACTAGGCATTAAAGTAGTGTAAAAAGTGTTTAAAGCGGAAGGATATATAATTTTGTACTTTTGATATTTACAATTTTAAATGTCTGCCTTAAAAAACGTATTAGGTCGAACGCGAATGAATTATGTTTTTTGGTAAATTTAACTGCTGCGATTCCGATGTTGAAAATGTCTTAGTTGTTATCGGCTTTAGTTAAGTAATAGCAGGTAAAATTTTCGTAATTTATCATCCACAGGAAGTTGTCAGTCAGTCAGTCATCGTGGCCAAGAATTATATATGGTAGATAAAGATTTTATCAATTTTCCTAGCTAAAATTTAGACATGGCCTAAAATGTGCCAGAAAATCAAAATGTTATCAAGATTAGGTCTACATTACATTTTAAACATTCCCGAGAGTTTGTATAGGAATGTCTGCTATTATAGCGAATAATGCAGAACTAGAGGTAGAATCATTTGGCAATGGCATTTCTTGTATCAATCAAAATAACCAAGGCATGAATATTCCATTCCAGCTGCAAACCAGATGCCATTCTTAGTTTCTTCATTATGGATCTTAGAATACCACTTGTTCTTGCTCAGTTTCTACAAATCTTATACATAAAACTAAAATGTTACATAACCTTGGTTAGGCCAATAAGAGGGTATGCATCCTCTGTTTGGGACCCCTCAACTCAAGAAAAGATATAAGAAACTAGAACAGTCAAATCACTAAATGTAGAAAGCCTCCAGGCTAGAAGACTTAAAGTAACGTAGCAACCCTAAATCTTCCAATACAGAACCTATTAAAATACTCAGAAAGACGTAAAGGCACATTTCTTGTTCCTTATGCTAAGACAAATGGCTGCCTGGTCGTGCGGTTTGCTCGCTGGACTGTCGTTCGGATTTATCGATGGTCGAGGGTTCAAATCCTGCCCGCTCCCACCCCCCGTCGTCCTGCGGGAGGTTTGGACTAGGAAGTAAACTATCTTCAACTCTGAAGGAACATCCGAAACATGTAAAACATTTATTCCTAGTGCTATTAGAGCATGGAATGGGTTGCCTGAGTCAGACAGGAAAACCAATGACTTGGCAGAATTTAAGTCATTGATTAACATGCATGACTAGATTAACCTAAGAAAACGCATAGAGCGTTATGATCTTTTTTTCTATATTTCGTCAATTCTGAAACTGCAAGAGACTTGTGTGTCTCCTGGACATACAATGGAAATACATTTCTATGTAGTAAAGAAAAGCCGCAGATCACTATTTGGTTTTCTTATCGTATACTGTTTCATTGCTATAATTAGCTACAAGTTATTTTGAAATAGTGTGATCAGTTTTGAAGAGGACCTTCCAGGCCTCCATGTTATAAAATGTCGGTAGGTTGATCTAGTTCTTGCATCTGTTAGGCATTCAGTCATGAGTAGGTCAGCCTTGCAGCTACCATCTTTTAAACTGGATGTCCAAGTACAATTGGATATTATAGACAGGATTTAAATTGAAAAAATATCCTCATTTATTTTCTTTTTCCCATCCTGGCATGATAAAATAATGCCATGCTGTATGCATGCCGTCTGTGACTTTATGATTCAATCGAAATGATGCTGCTTCATATATAAAGAGTGTAATGTCATTCCCAGTAACACCCACCACAACCTTTTGAATTTTCAACATTTTATTCAAATCTTGTTCTGTTATACCAATGTCAATCTAGTTCTGTTTATCAGTAAAGCCATAGTCTAGTTGTGTGTATCAGTAAAGCCATAGTCTAGTTGTGTGTATCAGTAAAACCATAGTCTAGTTGTGCGTATCAGTAAAGCCATAGTCTAGTTGTGTGTATCAGTAAAGCCATAGTCTAGTGTGTATCAGTAAAACCATAGTCTAGTTGTGCATATCAGTAAAGCCATAGTCTAGTTGTGCGTATCAGTAAAGCCATAGTCTAGTTGTGCGTATCAGTAAAGCCATAGTCTAGTTGTGCGTATCAGTAAAGCCATAGTCTAGTTGTGCGTATCAGTAAAGCCATTGTCTAGTTGTGCGTATCAGTAAAGCCATTGTCTAGTTGTGCGTATCAGTAAAGCCATAGTCTAGTTGTGTGTATCAGTAAAGCCATAGTCTAGTTGTGTGTATCAGTAAAGCCATAGTCTAGTTGTGGCAAAGCTATAGTCTATTTTTGTTATCAAGACACTCAATGAATGAATGGTGCAATACATTTAACATGTTATTTTTATCATGACATACACAATGTACACACAAAACTTTGAAATGAAATATTTCTATATGTTTATTTGCCATATAATTTGTAGATACCATTCAATGTGATTTTTTATTTGCATGAGGTGGTAACACAAGAAGAAAAAAAAACAAACAGCCAGTTAGAAGTAACATTGGAACATGGTCACTGTTAGAGCAAGTTTCCCCAATGGACAAATGACAATAGAGAAAGAATCTGCACAATACTTAGGTCAACAACAGTCCAAACCCTAACAATGGTTGTAGGTGCTGAAATAGAGTCCAGATATCCACAACTTAACATTGTACATACAAGATTGTATGAACTCTTTGATAATCAAAATAACTACTTTATAAAACGAAACTATAAAAATGTTTGATAACCTACAATCCTTCTGAATGTTTGGAACTGAAGCAAAGCCTTATGCTTGTTAGTACTTTAATTTGCTTTGAAAAAAAAAGCTAGCCAGAAAGTTGACATGTTGTTAGGATGTAATGCACACATCAATCTTATGTTCAAAAAGTGTTTCACTAACTGTGACCACAAAGATGGTCCTCACTGACTTGAAGCAACATGCTAAATTGGGTTTTATTTTATTGCTAGTTTCTTCAGTTCCAAACTTTGAGGACGATGGTCTGGTAGTAAAATCCTAAAGGTCCTACAATTTGCTTTGGTAGACAAACTTGACACTATGTAATATAACATTGGAAAACAAAATAATAATGAAACTGATGTGATGGTAACATGCCCACATTTTAAAGCAAAAATATTAAAAAAAAGTCTTACAATGATTTATGGTTTAAATCCTATTGACACCAAAAAAAAAATTCTTATGGAAAACTTTTTTGAATTATTTCTATTGATTTGAAATAAACTCAAATCTTGAAGTTGATCCTGTCCAACACAACTATCTGAACTTTCAGATGAACAGTTATAGTTGAAGTCAATGACAAAGAGACAAATTTCATGTAACATGAGGTAGACTGTGTAAATCAGGAACATTTCTCAGCAACTTTACTTTTTGCCCTCTTGAAGAAGAAAATTCAAACAATTTTTATTTTCCTTTGAAACATATTTCTTAATGCATATAAAATTCAGAATAGATCTCTTCTTATTGAGACTAGATTTCTGACAGTGACCCACCAAAACAATGTCAATGTTTGTTTCTTGCCCCAGGTACTAGTGTAGATGTGGAGTAGCATTATTTACAATTCAAATGAACCCGATTTACTGTGGGATTGGGAAATAGAAAACTTCAGCACTAGACACAACTAATCAGGCAACATCCTATAGTGTACAAAATATATTGTACATATGCTGTACAGCCTATACATATTCATGACATACTTACTGTACAATGTTACTAGAAGTCAACAATTTGTCAAGTAAAAAAAAAAATTAAAAAAAAAGAACATTTGAAATATATGTATGTTTTTTTTTTGTACACAATGTCAAGTAAAATACAGCAACACTGAGGATTCTGAATGCAACTGAACTGCAAACAAGTTTTTAAAAAGCCATTGACATAACAAGCAATAGAAAAATCAAATAAAATATTTGTGTTTCATTTATGTTTACATAATCCATCTATCATAGTTGACTAAATGCAATCAACATGCTGAAAAGTTCTTACACTGACTTCAATGCAAATCTATTCACTTCTCATTCTTACCAAGAATACAAATCAGAGCCATTAGTTTTATTAGTTACAGCTTATGGCACTCACAAATAAAATAAAAAGTTTGTTGATTGTAATAATGATTTGATATAAAGCTTTCTATGAGCAGTTGTCTACAACTAAAGGAATGTTCAAACCCTAGGAACAGTACGCATTCATTGATTTCAAATACATTTTTGTTGAAACTAGTGTTTTTCTAATGATAAAGAAACACAATTGAAAACAAAATATATGGGGATATGGTTAGTTTCATTGAAACATTATTCATGTATACTTCACACAACTTGTTTACACTTAGCCATTCCCACACCACACACATTTCCTGTAACACTGGTGTGTGAAGACATGAAACAGTCACAATATTAACATCACACACATTTAGTGATTCATGTGTAGCTCAAAATAGAAGTGAGATGACACACCAAACAGTGTTTGTGAATGTAACTCCAAACAGTGTTTGTGAATGTAACTCCAAACAGTGTTTGTGAATGTAACTCCAAACAGCACTCAGTGGCTCCACATATTATTTTAACAGATTTTGTAACTTTTTTTTTAAACACCACTCAGTTGAGGCTCCTCATAATATATTATCCAATTAACACAGTGATAAGCGAGCTTGTAATCTAAACTGGAATATCACAATTAAAATTATATGGCTTATAGTACTATAACATGAACATGTTACAC